ATATATAATTTGGAGCCATGTCACGCCAGGGTCTCGAAAATATTCTATCTTGTCCGTTTTCGTATTTTTGAGCCTTATCAAAGCTCAAAGAATAACATTAAACAATTGAAAAGCAATGAACAACAATGAAAAATAATAAAAAATAGAAAACAAAAACAATGAAAAATGATGGAAAAGAGAGAAAACAACAATTAAAAATTATGAAAAGATTGGAAAAAAACAATAACAAAAATGAAAAAGAGAGAAAAAAAAAGGAAGCATGATGAAAAATAGAGAAACAACAATGAAAAATGATGAAACATATGAAAAAAAAACAATGAAAAATGATGAAAAAGAGAAAAAACAATGAAACATGATGAAAAATAGAAAAAATGATGAAAAATAAGGGGAACAAAAACATGGAAACATGATGAAAAAAAGAAAAAAAATAAGATGAAAAAATGAGAAACAAAAATGAAGAATGATGAAAACGGGAAAACATGAAAAATGATGAAAAAGATAAAAAAACAATGAAACATGATGAAACATAGAGAAACAACAATGAAACATGATGAAACATGGAGGAAAAAAACAATGAAAAATGATGAAAACCAAGAAAAAACAATGATTTTGATCCATCATTTTTCACTGTTGGTTCTCTATGTTTCATCATGTTTCATTTTTTTCTCTATGTTTCATCATTTTTCATTGTTTTTTTTCCCTCTTTTTCATCTTTTTCTCATTGTTTGTTCTCTCTTTTTTTTTCATTGTTCATTCTTGTCTCTATTTTTCATATGTTTTCATTGTTTTTTCTCTATTTTTCATATTTTTTCATTGTTTTTTTTTCTATTGTTCATCATGTTTCCTTGTTTTTTTCTCTCTTTTTCATCATGTTTCATTGTTTTTTTCACTCTTGATCATCATTTTTCATTCTTTTTTTTTATCTTTTTTTCATCATGTTTCATTGTTTGTTCTCTCTTTGTCATCATTTTTCATTGTTTTTCTTCTCTTTTTCATCATGTTTCATTGTTTTGTTTTCTCTTTTTCATCAGTTTTCATTTTTTTCTATGTTTCATCATTTTTCATTATTGGTACTCGATTTTTCATCATGCTTCCTTGTTTTTTTCCTCTCTTTTTCATCATGTTTCATTGTTTTTTCTCTATGTTTCATCATTGTTTCTTGTTTTTTTTCTCTTTTGTTCATCATTTTTCTTTGTTTTTTTCGTCTATTTTTCATCACGTTTCATTGTTGTTTCTCCATTTTTTATATTTTTTCATTGTTTTTTTCTCGGTTTCATCATTTTTCATTGTTTTTTTCTTTCTTTTTCATATTTGTTCATTTGTGTTTCTCTATTGTTCATCATTTTTCATTGTGTTTTTTTATCTCTTTTTCATCATGTTTCATTGTTTTTTCTCTATGTTTCATCAGTTTTCATTGTTTTGTCTCTATTTTTAATCATTTTCATTGTTTTTTTCCATATTTTTAATCGGGTTTCATTGTTTTTTCTCTCTTGTTCATCATTTTTCATTGTGTTTTCCTCTATTGTTCATCATGTTTCCCTTTTTTCCCCTATTTTTCATCATTTTGCATTGTTTTGTTCTCTCTTTTTCATCATTTTTCATTGGTTGTTCCTCTCTTTTTCATCATTTTTCATTGTTTTTTTCCAATATTTTCATAATTGTTCATTGTTGTTTTCTCTCTTTTCATCATGTTTACCTGTTTTTTCTCTTTTTCATCATGTTTCATTGTTTTTTCAATGCTTTTCAATTGTTTAATCTTATTCTTTGAGCTTTGATAAGGCTCAAAAATACGAAAACGGACAAGATAGAATATTTCGAGACCCTGGCGTGACATTGCTCCAAATTATATATTTGGAAGCCTTCCATTGCGTGGATTTTTTTTTCCGTATGTTTCATTGTTTTTGTTGTATTTGTCATATTTGTTTCATTGGTTTTCACTTTTTTTCATCATGTTTCATTGTTGTTCATTGTTTTTCAATTGTTTAATCTTATTCTTTGAGCTTTGATAAGGCTCAAAAATAAGAAAACGGACAAGATAGAATATTTCGAGATCCTAGAGTGACATGGTTCCAAATTAATTACTTGGATTTTTTCCATTGTGTGTGTGGAAATGCTCTTATGTTGATTTTCACAATACTTCTGTGCATATATATATAGCGGTTGTATAGGTTTTATTGGGTTTAAGTCAGTTGGAGCCATGCCTACCCGCAATTCACAGCTGTTGCCGGTCCACCGCGTGGTCGCACCTCACACCCTCAATTTGCGGTTTTAACGCAAAACGTGGTGGAAACAAGACTGAATATTTTGGGATTTACCTAGCAAAATTGTTGGTTTTATCTGATATGCCAGGAATATGAAAAAAATACAGCAAAAACAATGAAACATACGGAAAAAAAATCCACGCAATGGAAGGCTTCCAAATACATATATATATAATTTGGAGCAATGTCACGCCAGGGTCTCGAAATATTCTATCTTGTCCGTTTTCATATTTTTGAGCCTTATCAAAGCTCAAAGAATAAGATTAAACAATTGAAAAACAATGAACAACAATGAAACATGATGAAAAAAGGTGAAAACCAATATAACAAATATGACAAATACAACAAAAACAATGAAACATACGGAAAAAAAATCCACGCAATGGAAGGCTTCCAAATATATAATTTGGAGCCATGTCACGCCAGGGTCTCGAAAATATTCCATCTTCCCTTTTTTTTGTATTTTTAAGCCTTATCAAAGCTCAAAAATAACATTAAACAATTGAAAAACATTGAAAAACAATTTAAAATAATGAAACAAACAATGAAAAATGATGAAACAAATAGAAAAAAACAAGGAAAAATGATGAAAAACAGTGAAAAAAACAATAAGAAATTATGAACAAGAGAAAAACAATAATAAAACATTATGAAAAAGAGAGAACAAACAATGAAACATGATGAAACAAAGAGAAAAAAAGAATGAACAATGATGAACAAGAGAGAAAAAACAATGAAACATGATGAAAAATAGAAAAAAAACAATGAAAAATGATGATAAAGAGTGAAAAAAACAATGAAACATGATGAAAAGGAGAGAAAAAACAAGGAAACATGATGAAACATAGAGACAAAACAATGAAAAATTATGAAATAGAGAAAAACACAATAAAAAATGATGACAAAGAGATAAAAAACACACTGAACAATTATGAAAAATAGAGAAACACAAATGAAGAATTATGAAGAAAAAAGAAAAAACAATGAAGAATGTTGAAAACGAGAGGAAAAAAAAAAAAGAACAATGATGAAAAATAGCGGAAAAATAAGGACACATGATGAAAAATAGAGGAAAAAACAATGAAAAATGATGAACAAAAGAGGAAAAAACAAGAAACAATGATGAAGAAAAGTGAAAATAACAATGAAACATGATGAAAAAGAGAGAAACAAACAATGAAACATGATGAAAAAGAGACGAAGAACAATGAAAAATGATGAAAAAGAGAGAACAAACAATGAAACATGATGAAAAAGAGAGAAAAAAACAAGAACAAATGATGATAAAGAGTGAAAAAAACAATGAAACATGATGAAAAAGAGAGAAAAAACAAGGAAACATGATGAAAAATAGAGAAACAACAATGAAAAATGTTAAAAAAGAAAGGAAAAACAATGAAATATTATGAAAAATAGAGGATACAACAATGAAAAATAATGAAAAATAGAGAAACACCAATGAAAAATGATGAAAAAGAGAGAACAAACAATGAAACATGATGAAAAAGAGAGAAAAAACAATGCAAAATGATGAAAAATAGAGAAACAACAATGAACAATGATGAAAAAGAGAAGAAAAAACAATGAAAATCATGAAAAAGAGAGAACAAAACAATGAAAAATGATGAAAAAGAGAAGAAAAAACAATGAAAAATTATGAACACTAGAGAAACAACAATGAAAAATGATCAAAAAGAGAGAACAAAAACAATGAAAAACATGTTCATCATTTTTAATCATTTTTCATTGTTTTTGTTTCTCTCTTTTTCATCATTTTTCATTGTTTTTTTTGTTTTCTCTTTTTCATCATGTTTCATTGTTTTTTCAATCTTTTTCATCAGTGTTTCTTGTTTTTTCTCTCTTGGTCATCATTGTTCATTGTTTTTTGTACCGTTTTTCATCATTTTTCAGTGTTTTTTCTCTCATGTTTGAGTGTTTTGTTCACTCGTTTTCATCATTTTTTCTTGTTTTTCCTCCCGTGTTCATCATTTTCATTGTTTTTTCTATCTTTTTCATCATGTCTCATTGGTTGTTCTCTCTTTTTCATCATTGTTCATTGTTTTTTCTCTATTCTTCATAAGTGTTCATTGTTTTTTCTCTCTTTTTCATCATTTTTCATTGTGTGTTTTTCTCTCTTTTTCATCATGTTTCATTGTTTGTTCTCTCTTTTTCATCATTTTTCATTGTTTTTGGACCCTTTTTTCATCATTTGTCATTGTTTTTTCATTCTTTTTCATCATTTTTCATTGTTGTTTCTGTATTTTTCATAATGTTTCCTTGTTTTTTTAAATCTCTTTTTCATCATGTTTCATTGTTTTTTTTTCACTCTGTTTCATCATGTTTTCTTGCTTTTTTCTCTCTTGTTCATCATTTTTCATTGTTCTTGCTTTTAATTTGTTCTTCGTGTTTCCTTGTTTTTTCTGGCATGTTGACTTGGCGTCCTGTTGCTTCAAAAATCATCAGTAGTTTTCTGCACAGGCATGCACGAAATTGACAAGATAGAATATTCAAGGGGGTGTTCTGTGAATTTTTGTGAATATTCTATATTAATATTCTATCTTGTGGTGTTTTTTCCGAGTGGGAGGCCGATGGTAATTTTCTCACTCGCGTGTCTGGTAGTGAAAAATATTCTATCTTTCGGCCGGTCGGTATAAGTCCCTAAATTTCTTGAGAACCTCACTTACTCCCCATTTTTTTCTTTGCTATGCCCACTTTGTCCATTTTTTGGACAACAGTTAGGTCCTGAACGTGTCGGACTTCAAACTCTGTGACGCTTCAAGGTCGTGCGAGGGACTCAGAGAAGGATTGAGAGTTTTTGATGTTCAATATTCTTCGATATTCTTAGCGTTTTTGTTCCTACCACGACCACGTTGGTTGATTATTTCTTTTTTTCAATTTCAAAGCCATTTTGGTTTATTATTGTCTAGATCATGTTTTCTCCATTGTCTGTCCACCCAACCAAAATGGACAAGTAATAAAAGTCCTGAAATCATCCAAGTGCTGTGGCTTCGCCCTTGATGTAGGCTCTGGGGGTTGATGAAGCCCCAGGATAGCTGAGGCGAATTCAGCATCACCATCAGCTTCGCCAGTGCTTCGATTGGGCTGGCATCCTCAGGCGCCTGATGTTCCAAAATCATGACGGCATGATCCATCCTCAATATTCCTTAACCCTTAACCCCATTCCCCATGCAGTTTTTTTGTATGGAACCATTTCGGAATATTCGGACCAATGTGGGTAAAACAACAATGAACCCCCAAATCAGCATAAATAAGTGGTATAACAATGTATAAACCATTCCCAACTGGGTGGTTTATGGCATGGTTTTACCCACATTCATGTTATTACCAGGGTATTACCATATATCATAGTACTTGTGATAAATATACATTACCATATATATATATATATTAGACCATATTTGGTTTATACCACCACACCCATATAGTATTCAATGGATTGGTTTAAGGGAAACAAAATTACCGGAAAGCCCCATAGAAAAAATGGGAAAATCGATGGTTTCCGGTTAGGATTTTCCCTTAAACCAATCCATTGAAGTATGTTATTCCACAAAAATCATCCAGGTACCATACGATTCCGAAAATCGACCAGGCCTGGCCTCGGAGCCCACACTTCGATACGAGGTGCTGGCGATGTGGGGGCACTCGGGCTGTGGGGGGAAAGGTTGGACTCTTGAAGCATAGCAGGTTATAAGTTATAGTTGATTTGTGTATATATATATATATATCTATTAATCTATTTACATATACCCTCCGGTAATGAAAGGTGGCTGGAAAATTCATCATTAAAAAAGGTGATTTTCCCAGCTATTAACCTGAAGTTCGGGCATTTTCCGGCTTGCTATGTTTGATGACACCGGAGGGTATCCCGAAAAAATATTCATGTAACACGTATAGAATCAAAGAGCTTTGGCTTGTCGAGCCGTCGTTCTAAGGGAAGTGGATCCTGATCTTCATCCCAACACGTGTAGGACTCAGCTGTTTCGGGTGGCAACTTGGATATCTTGAATGGGATTTTCATGTGATTTTCATGGGATTCACTGGGATTTCATATATTTCATGGCCACTTTGTCAGGTTGGAGATGAGATGAGGTACCCTCTGGTAATTTAACATAGCTATTGAAAATCACCATTTATAGTGGATTTTCCCATTGAAAATTGTGATTTTCCATAGTTATGTTAGTTTACCAGAGGGTAGGCATCTCCCAAGCTATGCCCCCTGGGAAGGTCGTGCGGCCTTCGAGCCGTGATGGAGCACAAGCGTGCCATCAGCAGAACGGCGGTGCAGGCATCGTCAGTGGAGCCATTTTGATAGGGGAAATGGATAGCTATTGAAAATGACCATTTATAGTGGATTTTCCCATGAAAAATGGTGATTTTCCATAGCTATGTTAAATTACCAGAGGGTATATCCGTAGTATCTCCCACATTTTGTCCACCAAATAATCATGAAATCATGGAGAAAATCCGTTGCATTCACAGGGCGCCGCAGGTGGGTCGCTATAGCTGGCAACACCAGTTGCAGGGGGTGTTGGAATTCGAGAAGGTCGACTTTGCCAACCGCAGCATTGTGGCGTTTGGCTCAGTGACAGACCACGAATGAAATGAGCATGCCCAAACAGACTATTCAATGCATTCAATTGTACATACGTATAATATATATATATATATATATATATGTATAGATATAGATTGATAAATAGATAGATAGATAGGTAGATAGATAGATAGATAGGTAGATAGATAGGTAGATAGATAGGTCGATAGATAGATATATAGGTAGATAGATAGGTAGATAGATAGATAGGTAGATAGATAGGTAGATAGATAGGTAGATAGATAGATAGGTAGATAGGTAGATAGATAGGTAGATAGGTAGATAGGTAGATAGGTAGATAGGTAGATAGGTAGATAGATAGATAGGTAGATAGGTAGATAGGTAGATAGGTAGATAGGTAGATAGGTAGATAATGGTAGATAGGTAGATAAGTAGATAGGTAGATAGGTAGATAGGTAGATAGGTAGATAGATAGGTAGATAGGTAGATAGATAGGTAGATAGGTAGATAGGTAGATAGGTAGATAGGTAGATAGGTAGATAGGTAGATAGGTAGATAGGTAGATAGATAGATAGGTAGATAGATAGGTAGATAGGTAAATAGGTAGATAGGTAGATAGGTAGATAGATAGGTAGATAGGTAGATAGGTAGATAGGTAGAGAGGTAGAAAGGTAGATAGGTAGATAGATAGATAGGTAGATAGGTAGATAGATAGATCGATAGATCGATAGATCGATAGATAGGTAGATAGGTAGATAGGTAGATAGGTAGATAGGTAGATAGGTAGATAGATCGATAGATCGATAGTTGGTTAGATAGGTAGATATGTAGATGGGTAGATAGGTAGATCTCGAAAGGTAGCGGTGAGCTACCTGAGTTCCCCCTTGCGTAGCAAGTATTAGGGGGCGAGCGGTGCAAGTGCAAGAGTTTGGGCCGGTTATGTCTCGGTCCGCCTTTCAAGGGGGGCCCCCCCCCCCCCACCCTTCGATTCCCCCCAGGTCCGCCTCTAAAGCCGGGTTTGCAACATAGGCGGACTACAAGGAAACGCCAACAGCCGCACATGCACTTTCATCCACCACGTTTACATACATCCCCACCCCAACCGAAGTCAAGACCCGCACTGAAACTCGACAATGTCAGATTGCTCAAGAACTTTGTTTCGTTCACCCTAACAACCGCGATGAACAATGTCGTAGCAAGAACGTTGCGACGGACTGCGTTGCAGTAGTCTCAAAAATCGTACATGATATACCAGTAGTACCGCACAAGGCGGTGGCGGAAGTTTCAAAAATAGGAAACCTATAGGAGAGATTGGTTGTTGTGAATCAGAGATGGCAGAGCGAAGCCACTGCTGGACTGAAAGGCGATTGATCTCTCTCACTCTTGTCTACCTGTCTATCTATCTATCATATCTATCTATCTATCTATCTATCTATCTATCTATCTATCCATCTATCCATCTATCCATCTCTCCATCTCTCCATCTCTCCATCTCTCCATCTATCCATCTATCCATCTATCCATCTATCCATCTATCCATCTATCCATCTATTTCTCCCTCTATCTATCTATCTATCTATCTATCGATCTATCGATCTATCGATCTATCGATCTATCGATCTATCGATCTATCGATCTATCTATCTATCCTATCTATCCTATCTATCCTATCTATCCTATCTATCCTATCTATCCTATCTATCCTATCTATCCTTTCTATCATATCTATCATATCTATCATATCTATCTGATCGACCTATCCATCTCTCCATCTATCCTCTATCCTTCTATCCATCTATCCATCTTCCATCTATCCATCTATCCCTCTATCCTCTATCCATCTATTTCTCCTCTATCTATCTATCATATCTATCTATCTATCTATCTATCTATCTATCTATCTATCCATCTATCCATCTATCCATCTCTCCATCTCTCCATCTCTCCATCTCTCCATCTATCCATCTATCCATCTATCCATCTATCCATCTATCCATCTATCCATCTATTTCTCCCTCTATCTATCTATCTATCTATCTATCGATCTATCGATCTATCGATCTATCGATCTATCGATCTATCGATCTATCGATCTATCTATCTATCCTATCTATCCTATCTATCCTATCTATCCTATCTATCCTATCTATCCTATCTATCCTATCTATCCTTTCTATCATATCTATCATATCTATCATATCTATCATATCTATCATATCTATCATATCTATCATATCTATCATGTCTATCATATCTATCATATCTATCATATCTATCTTATCTATCTATCTATCGATGTATCGATCTATCTATCCTTCTATCTATCTATCTATCTATCTATCTATCTATCTATCTATCTATCTATCTATCTATCTATCTATCTATCTATCTATCTATCATATCTATCATATCTATCATATCTATCTTTTCTATCTATCTATCGATCTATCGATCTATCTATCTATCTACCTATCTAACTATCATATCTATCATATCTATCATATCTATCATATCTATCATATCTATCATATCTATCATATCTATCATATCTATCATATCTATCTATCTATCATATCTATCATATCTATCTATCTATCTATCATATCATATCAATCTATCTATCTATCTATCTATCTATCTATCTATCTAATTATCTTATCTATCTATCTGTCTGGCTGTCTACCTGTCTATCTTTTGTGCAGTGTCATTCAGTGTAATGTAGTGTAGTGTCTTAAAAGGTAGTGTAGTGTAGTGTAGTGGAGTGTAGTTGTGTAGTTTTAGTTGTAGTGTTGTGGAGTGTAGTGTAGTGTAAGGTAGTGTAGTGTAGTTTAATGTTGTGTAGTGGAGGGTAGTGGAGTGTAGTTGGGTAGGTGTAGTTGTATTTGTAGTGTAGTGGAGTGTAGTGTAGTGTAATGTAGTGAAGTGTAGTGTAGAGAGTGTAGTGCAGTGTAATTTAGTGTAGTGGACTGTAGTGGACTGTAGTTGTGTAGTTGTAGTTGTAACGTGTAGTGTTGTGAAGTGTAGTGTAATGTAATGTAGTGTAATGTAGTGTAGTGCAGCAAAGTGTAGTGTCATGTAGTGTAGTCGAGTTAAGCGAAGCAACATCTGAACCGCCAAAAGTGGTCCGAAACCCTAGTGTCTTTAACATGTTAACTTCCAAATCTGCTTCGCGCCACAACGGCGTGCACTTTTTCGAAACTCGACATCTCAGCCTCCAAAAGTGGTCCGAACATGGTGTGGTTTGTACATTTTGACTTCGAAATGTGCTTCGCGCCACAGCGGCGTGCACTTTTTCGAAACTCGACCTCTGAGCCTCCAAAAGTGGTTCGAACCCCTGGTGTTTTGCACATTTTGACTTCGAAATGTGCTTCGTGCCACAACGGCGTGCACTTTTTCGAAACTCGACCTCTGAGCCTCCAAAAGTGGTCCGAACCCCTAGTGTTTTTAACATTTTGACTTGGAAATGTGCTTCGCGCCACAACGGCGTGCACTTTTTCGACATCTTAAGTGCCAAAAGTGGTCCGCACTTGGTGTGTTTTCTACATTTTGACTTGGACATGTGCTTCGCGCCACAACGGTGTGCACTTTTTCGACATCGCAACTTCCAAAAGTGGTCAGACCCTGGTGTGTTTTGTACATTTTGACTTGGGGATGTGCTTCGCGCCACAACGGCGTGCACTTTTTCGACATCTGAAGCGCCAAAAGTGGTCCGATCCTCTGGTGTTTTGTGCATTTTGACTTGGAAATGTGCTTCGCGCCACAACGGCGTGCAATTTTTCATGTCTCATCTCCCCATATGTCTCCGCACCCGCCGCTTTAGCGAGCCTACTTTTCGACCCTCCGGAACCACAAATCATTGGAAAAACACAGTGAATCGCGACTTTCCTACCTTTTCGCGCATCTGCATCTTCTTTCTTCTGACTCTTTCTCTTCTGAACTTTCTCTTCTCTCTGCCTCTGCCCTGCTCTGCTTTTCATCTGTCCATATTGTCGGAAGTTTAGCTTCTCAACTTCCTTCGACAATATAGTTAAAGATATGTATCTATATATATATACACATAATAATTCCATGATATATATATATACTAAATAATCTCAATATACATATAGATTCGTATAATATATAT